TGAACAGTAACAGAGATCCAGTATAACAGAGATCTTCTCGGTCCTATGTCCCCGGAAAAAATGCGGTGGCGGCTGATGGCAGCGAGAGACAAAAAGAATAAAAGGTTATTGTTCTAAAGACAATAGGCGCGGAAGCAGAGCCCTCAGGATCGAGAGCTCTGATACCAACTTGAAATAAAAGGGTATTTGAAATATTATTGAATCGTATTTGAATCTGTACATAGGGGTCTCTATTTATAGAGACTTCTTGACCTAATTTTGACCTAATGGGCTTGGCCCAATATACAAGTAACGGACTAAATAAATACAAATAAATGACTACATAATTACTATTTACAACACTCCCCCTCAAGCTGAGGAATAGATATTTATCATTCCCAGCTTGCTAGCAAGTTCTTGAAATCTATCTGAAGGAAGCCCCTTTGTCAATAGATCAACTAATTGACGCCCAGTGGAAATGTATGGAGTGGTAATCAACCCGCTATCAAGTTTCTCTTTGATGAAATGGCGGTCGACCTCAATATGTTGCTTTCATATATTGAATCTTTCTGTGAGTTTCACATTGTGAAAGCAGCAAGATAGTATATTGACATAAGTTATTATGACTACTTGAATCGCAATTGTAATCATATTTCTTGCAAGAATTACATAACTTGCAGGATAACCACGTGAGAAAAATTGTGATATATATGATTTATTTTGACAATCTTATGTCTCTACTGTGAAATTCATTAAAGTTGCAGGGACCCATGAATGATGAAAGGCAAAGATATGAATCTCACCTGCAGAGATCCATCAATGATGAATAGTAAAGATATGAATCTCACTGGAATGCAAATAAACTTAGCAAATGTTATAATTAAATATCTGCAAAGTTATATATGACTTATCTTGAATTATTTTTAACTTATTCTGAATGTCTCTGTTGTGAAATTCATAAGATTGTAAGGATCCATGAATGATGAAAGTCGAAGACATGAAACTTGCCTAAAACGTAGAAAAGCTTAAAAAAATTTACAGTTGATATCTGCAAAGTTTTTGAACTAATTTGAACTAATCTCATTGAAGTTATCATTCTTAAGTGATATGACTCTATTCTTTGAGGTCCATGACAGTTACAGGTTTTGATGAACAAGCGAGATACATGAACCTCGTTTGAACCTGCTACAAGAACAAGAACTTGAGGGTAAAACCAAAAAGGTTAAAAAATCAAGTTGTTACTTAATGGTAAAGCCTAAAATGTTAAAAACTCAAGTTGAACCTCGTTATAACTTGCCAACAGTGCTTAAAGTTCTTAAACTTCGATTTGAAGAAACTTGAGGGTAAAACCTAAAAGATTAAAAACTGATGTTGTTAATTATTACTAATTAACAACATTGATGCATAGTTTGTATTCTTCCATAATTATCATTATTAGTTATTCATTTAAAAAATTAAAATAAATATAAAAAGATGAAAAGGAAACTCAAACATTTCTCATTATTATTTATTTTGTATATTAAAAAATACAAAATATGAACTTACGGACACATAGTTTATCAATGGGTTTTATGTTTGTTATATTACATAACCTAACTTCACTCTCCTACACACACAACAAAAAGTAGAGAGAAAATGAAATAATGAAAGAGAGAGAAAAAAATATGAACTCCACTTCTTTGATCTGTGTGTAGGAAAGTGGAGTTAGGTTATGTAACATAACAAACATAAAACCCTTTATCAATGTACTAGTATATCAATAATTGTAAATTTTGTTGAATATAAATCGATAAATAATTCAATTCAAACATTTCATTGAAAAACTTTTCATACAAAAAAAATAAATTGTTTCGATATTATATCCGATATATATAATATATGTACACACATAATATTGCTTCAACTTTTAAGTATTCCATATAGCATTATTTGTTAATAGATTTTTTGTTATAAAAAAATTTAAGGAAAAAATATTTATTTTTAAAAATTACTAATAAAATATTACTATAAATAGAATCCAAAAACGTGAAACTCAATATATTTTTTATTAAATTTGAAAAAAAGTAATATAATTGACTTTTCTAATTTTATCCAACATTTTATAATTATTGTTAATTAAGTTTTATTCTTTCTATTTTTGATAAAAGAGTGCGTACTCTTATAATACTAAAAATACGCTCCAAAAGTAGACCAGCACAAACAATCGAAGTAAATACATTGAAAAGAAGCTCTGATTTTATGTTGAAATATAGGATTGTAGGTTAACCCTAAAATAATATTGGGTTTTATAAAAGTTATGTTGTAAGAAAAGTGATGGTGTAATGTTATAGAGATTCGTTTTGCGTGCCATAATATTTTTTTTTTTTACTTCAAAAAATGCGGATCTCACAAAATGTAGTGTGTGTGAAATTTTTTTTTGTGTCATGTGACATGACATTAGATGCAAACTCCAATAATATTTTGGGGGTGTTTTAGGGTTTTGGAAAATTGAATAAAGAAAATTAAAGAAGTATACGGGAGGTACACAAATGGCAACAATGGAGACAAAAACTGTATACGATAGTGAAGATTTGGCTATAATAGAGCGTGAACAAGATAGTTTGTACCTTCTTCCATGCTAGAATTATATTTAAGATTTCTTGATCTTAAAAAAAATAAAATAAATATGAGTATTTAGTTTTAATAAATGTTCTCATGCTTCCTAGTAGGCTAATACCCTTTTTTATGTACCCAAAAACAAATAATACCTTCTCTCTCTTTTTTCTTTTTTTTCCTTCTTTGGACATTGTTAGTTTTGAGTAGGGGTGTAAATGGGTCAGGTTGGCTTGGCCTAGCCTACTGTCCGGCCTACGTTAAGCCTGGTCTAGCCCGGCCTACATTGAAAAGTAGAGTAGGCTTAGGTTTATAAGAAAGTCTTTTTAACAAATAGGTCATAGGCCAATTTTGTCAAGCCTAGCCTAAAGCCTTGTAGGTTAGCCTATTTAATTTTTTAAAATAAAATAAAATAAAATATTTATTTTAGGGTATATGATATGGGTTCACTTTTTATGCAGTTACTGCAGATAAGTTATCTGCAGAAAGCCCAATACGACATCGTTTTGGGGCAGAAATCATGATATTTTTGTAATTTTAATTTATTTCAGAGTTATTATAGTCTGTATAATTATAATTTTTTAATCCTTCAATTTCAAAATGACGTCGTCAGATAACTTATCTGCATTAACTGCAGAAATATTTTTCTGATATGATATACATTACAAAGCTGGGGTATTATGTTGACTCTTTCTTGTTTGTCATTTTTTATGAATTATGAGAAGTACTAATGCATGCATGAATGAAACTTTGCTCAGTATATTTTTATAGTTACTTTTTTTACTATTGTAAATTTTTTAATGCTTACTAGTGAAATTTATATCTCGTGTAAAAAAATGCAGCAATTTATGAACACATTAATGACTTGTAATGTCAAGCGAATATTTTAAATATTGTTAAAAATATTTTACTATGGAGGCCTATAAGGCCTGTAGGTCATATAAGACTCTCTAATTTTTAAGAATAGGCCAGACTTGACCTATAAATAAAATCTTTAGTAGATCAATAAGCCAAATAGACTGAATATTTTTTTACGTAGACTTAAGCCAGTAAAATCAAAGCCCAATCCAGTCTATTTACATCCTTAATTTTGAGTTGGCTTTGCAAGCTAAGGTAAAGCGATTGAATGGACTTTGGGGATGGAATTCTGAGAACTACGCTGCACGGGGCTTAAATTGTGACTTCGTCGTACTCTGTGAAAAGACTAGTCTCCTAGTTTTGTATCCAAGCAAAAGTCCATCATTCATTAAATAACAAGTATGGTCCACACCATGTGATGCAAAGCCATAATAGAAAATTCCTTTGCGCTAACAGGGACAGGGCACAAATAGTTAAAATTGGCCAATTTTATTTTTATTTTTATTTGTATCTCTTTTCCAGTCATTTGCCTTGGAAAAGAACAGTGAAGACGATCACAATTTTCTCGAGAAAGTGAGCGAATTTGATTTATGGAAAATTTGAGATTTGGATTGTAAAGTGGCAATGAGAACTTCAGGCTTCAGGGTGAGCGAGTACTGAGGAGTGACGAATGTTCAGGGTTTACCAAAAATAAAATAAAATAAGTAAACATGGCGTAAGGAACCAAGGCAAACAGATGCAAGCTAAAATGAAATTTCATCAAACAATAATTACAAAATCAATTGTCGCTTTCATCGGCAATGCCGTGTTCTGGACTTCGATAGAGTCTACGACGGATTGGCTAGGCACAGGGTCAAGTTGCAGTGTACGGTGTTTAGACCTTGAATGTTACTATTCTGACAACTCCATATCAATAACTTTTTTGGTCGTTCCTTCTTTTTCTTTTTTATCTGTGCATTTTGTTAAAGAAATATAATATAAAATTATTTATAAAATCTTTAATTACCTTCTTAAGCTTTTATGTGAATTGATTTCTTTATCATCACGTAGTTACGAGTTCAATCATTATCGTCATCTCTCATCCCTTACAAACTTGAATTATTGAATTAGATGGTTGCTTACCATGATATTAGAGTCCTCACGAATAGATAGTCATAAGTTTGATCTTCGGTAACCACCACCTTCATTTTCTAGTAGTATTAAGTCAGTATAACATGGGGCTGATGTATTTTTCACAATTAAAATCCAAAGATCTCTCATGTGACATGATATGTTAGAGATATATAATATAAAATTATTGAAGGCGTACCATTTAACTCCTTGAACCGTTAGTTTGAATTAATTGTTTTATATGATATTAAAGTCTATGTGCAGGGGCTATTGCATAAAAGAACGTATTAGAAAGATATAATATAAAACAATGAATGGGCCTTCAGTTACCGACTTAATTTTTAGATTGAATTAATGTTTTATTATTTTTATTTCATTCAAATTGTAACTTCATAAGAAAAGAAGACTATCTGCTGCTAAAAGAATTAACATGAGAAATAAGTACTTTAGCTTTTGGCTAGGTAACCTTATTTTATTTCAATACCACTCAAGAGACAAGCTTACTAATTGAAAGGATTACAAAACTACGCAACAGAACACAAACAAATAAATTGAAACTAGGCAACATGAACACTGCAACATTTTTCTCACTGAGAAAATTCACATGGAAATAGAATTTGGACAAGGAGGAATTGCTATATCGGTAATCCCTTCTAACATCAACAACACACTTTTCATTGTTGGCCGGAGAACAGGTTCATCATTAATACACCAAAGTGCCACCTTAACCATATTTTCCAGGACATTTATATCCACGTCTTGCAAAAGAACGAGCCTATTGAACTCTCCGGCAACAAAGCACTTGTAGGCCCAACTGGTCAGAAGGACCTCCTCAGGTTCCGAGACATTAACTTCAATGTTTCTTCTGCAACATAAAGTTTCCAATAGTACTATTCCATAGCTATAGACATCTACCTTCACTGATATTGGGGTGTTCTTGTGCCATTCCGGGGCCACGTACCCTCTTGTCCCTCTAACCCCTGTGAACGTTCTGGTTTGATCTGGCATTAGAAGTTTTGCTAGCCCAAAATCAGATATCTTGGCAGTCCAAAACTCATCCATCAAAATATTTTGAGGCTTTATGTCACAATGAATGATTGGTGCCTCACACTCTTCATGGAGATAGAGGATCCCTCTTGCAACATCCAGTGCTATTTTCACTCTTTCATCCCAATCTGGAATTCTTTGAGCCCCAAAGATAAGATTTCCAAGGGAACCATTCCTCATGTACTCATAAACCAGAAGCCTTTTAGAACCCTCAGCACAAAACCCCAGCAATCGAACTAGGTTCCTGTGGTGGGTTTTTCCAATGGCTCGCATTTCTGCTTGAAACTCCCTTTCTCCTTCTTCAACTAACTTCTCTAGCCTCTTAACCGCAATCAATCTTCTGCCTTTGTTCAAAGCCCCTTTGTAAACTGCTCCAAAAGAACCCTTACCCAACTCTTGTTTGAAATGATTTGTCGCTCTTTTCAGCTCACCGTATGAAAATCTTCTCAGAGCCAACTCTTCGTTGAGGCCCATGTTCCCAGTCTCCATCAGCCTTTTGTACATTAATACTCGAATCTTGTACATGTAATGGCTGGAGATTGCAATAGTTGAACACAAAAGCACAGAAAACACCGATGTAACAACAATAATATGCACCATTGCTTTGTTACTTGCGCTCTTAATTAGAGGTGGTTGTTCAGCAACAGGTTTGTCATCCCCCTTCCAGTTTCTGAGGATGTCATTTCCCACCTTTAAGAATACAGTGGAGGACTGAGTTTCAGCTTCATATATTGACCTACTGACATATCTCAAAGGAAGTCCGTGTTTCTTGCAACTCCCGCCATCATAAAGTGCAGCCCAACAGTTGCAATCAGCCAGACAAGCATAGGAGCATTCTTCTTCCTCTGACATTTCAGCCTCGTAATAAGGACTATCCCCCCATTTAATATTCTCCATCGAGACCATGTTATAAAACGCTGCACCATCTTTCTCACCTCTACAATCTGCTTTTGAAAAGCTCCTTTTGCAGCCAAGAGTCTCTTTATTTGGATCTATGAAGTCAAAACCCCGAAGACAATTACACTTTGCTGTGTTGTCATCTAATGCGCAGAAGCTGTTGAAGCCACAAAGACCCTTTACTTCACATGCATTGCCGCTCGGCCAACTTTTTTTTACTTTTTTGCCACTTTCCTTGTTAACATGCTCATACAGCCGAAAAAACCCATCAAAATCGAGGGTTGCACGGTAGATGGTCGAGTTCCCATTGTTGATGTTGTCAGCCAAATATCTAACGATCAAATTATTGCTATCTCTGATCTGAAGGGAACCTGTTTTGTTGAGGTAAAGATGATATTTGAAACCAACGATACCAGTGGCCCAGTAAGCATCCCATGGTGTGTTGGCTGTGTTTGCTGGATATAGAACAAGATTTCCATCACCCTGCATAACGAGAAGAAACCGTCCAGTTGAGGGGTTGATTGCTGATGAATTAGACAACAGTTGACTTCCGCAAGGTAGGGATTGACCACCTAACATGGTATCAGTTGGGTGATCAAAACTCTGCCATATGATGCTGGAATCGTTGTTGTACAGTACCAAGTTTCCAGAATCAAGCATGGAGGCAAAGGAAGCTGTTGCATTAGCATTAGCAATAAGCTTCTCTTGTCCTTGCTCTACTACTACAAGTTTACCATCAAGGGTTAGTTGTAGCTTTGCATTTGAGGTGACTGGAGGGTCATCTCGGTTTGCAGTCCATACCACCACTGTATTGTTGTTCTCCACGCCAACCAACCATATTCCGACGACAAAGCCATTGTCTTGCCGATAAAAGCCAAATGCAAATAGACCAGAAGGGGAAAGCCATGAAGTGGGGGGGTGAGTAGGGAAAAGTGAGGAACCAGGTGGTATGTTCTTTGGTGGTTGTGTTTCAGCTCTAGTACCAGCAGATGACAAGGACATGAACAGCAGCAGGAAGGTGATAGTTGCACCAATAGCATCCATAACTACTTAACTGTACTATTTGGTCTAGATGATCTGAGATAAAAGAGAAGTAAAATTACTATTTGCTAGTACAGTCAGTCATTGCCTTGCAATCTTGCATAACTTAAATTTAAAGGAAATGGCCTCGAGAGACTGTCAACGTCTCCACTCAACCTCAATGTGGAAAATTGGAAATACAAGACTTTTATGGTCAAAGTCTACTAAATGGCTATTATCGAACCACCAATGGGAATGGGAAGGTAATATCTTCCAACCAAGTAAAGAAAAATAAAAATAAAAGAGAGGGGAAAGATTCTTATGAGACAGACGTGTCTCAAACATCATCTCCATTATTTCAAGATTATCCATCATGAGTTTCAGAGACATAGTAAACAAGGGTGTTCTCTCTCCTTCTTGTATAATAAAAAAGTTACATGATACTTTCTTCTCTTTTTCTTTTTTCTTTTTTCTTTTTTCTTTCCTTAGTTGCCGGTATTTTAAGAGGGATTCTGAACAAATAATTTTAGTATATATGTTATCACAACCGGAAAGAAATACTGATGTACCTCCATGAAAATAAAGAGTCTTTTATTTCTTGAACTGGCATGGATGACAAGTAGGGAAGCTAACTTTTGATACAATTCATTACAAGAACAGAGATTGAACAATAATTCAAGATAAAAATGAAACTACGGTATGAAAATAAAAGTCTTTTATTGCATGAACTACCACGGATGGCAATTAGGGAAGCTAACTTCTGATGTAATTCATCACAAGAACACAACCTGAACAACAATTCAAGATAAAAGATAAAAGATAAAAATGAAACTACAGTAGTGCACGTACTAAATATACGTGTAAAAAGACAAATTATACAAGCAATAAAATGTCCCTGGATTATTTAACCAAGAGGGCTGCAGAGGGAGGAATTGGAATATCTTTCAATCCTTCCAACATCAAGATGACATTCTTCATTGAGGGACGAAGAGATGGATGGTCTTGCACACACCACAACCCCACCTTCACCATTCTTTCCAACATCTTCCAATCTACATCATCTTCATCTGTAACAAGCCGATTCAACTGCCCTGCTGCAAAGCATTGATATACCCAGCTGGAAAGAAGTATCTTCTCAGGTGAGGAAACATTCATATCTATACTGCTTCTGCGGCACACAATCTCCAATAATACCACACCAAAACTGTAAATGTCAGTTTTTACCGATACCGATGCATCCTTCTGCCATTCAGGTGCCAGGTATCGGCTTGTCTCATCCCCTGCTGAATTGTCCTGCTTTAGCCTTGCTAATCCAAAATCAGAGATCTTTGCAGTCCACGCTTCATCCATAAGTATATTTCGAGGCTTTATATTGCAATGAATAATGCGGACTTCACACTCTTCATGTAGATACAGGACCCCTCTAGCCACATCCATTGCAATTTTCAATTTCTCTCCCCAGGATAGGTGCTTCTCACCGTTAAAGAGAAGCTTTGCAAGAGACCCGTTACTAACATATTCATAAACAAGAAGCTTCCTAGATCCATCAATACAAAAACCAATAAGCTTAACCAAATTCCTATGATGTGTTCGAGCAATGGCAGTAATTTCAGCTCGGAATTCCCTCTCCCCTTCGTCAACAATCTTCTCCAATCTCTTGACAGCAATACTTCTGTTACTGTCACCTATTGTACCTTTATAAACAGCTCCAAATGATCCTCTACCCACCTCTTCCGTGAATCCTCCAGTTGATTTGACAAGTTCATCAAAAGAAAACAAACGCAACGAACAATCTTCAGTAAATCCCAGATTTTCACTTGCAGACAACGTTTTATACATATAAACTTTACGTCTATAAGTGAAGAAAATGGACACCGCAAACCCCAAACAAAACAACGAAATGGAACCCAAAGTAAAGGCTAGAATCATTATCAGACTTGTCTTGTTATCATCAACAACAATAACAATCTTAGGCTTAGGCTTAGCCTTAGTTGGACTTGGCTGAATTGGAGAAAAACCCGAAAGCATCTTTAGGAGGGCCACGCCCACGGTTGATGAATTTTGAATCCTTCTGGTATATACAAGTGGAAGCCTATATTTTTTGCAGTTTCCGTTCGAATATAATACTGCCCCGCAATTACAATCTTGCTGGCAAGACTTCTTGCAAGTTTCCATCTTCACAGTTATAACTGAATACGGAGTATCACCCCAATACATATTGTCCAATTGAGTAACATTGTACAACATCGTTGGGTCTTCAACACTTTCACAATCATCTTTGCTATGGTTCTGCACGCAATCCAGAGACACGTTACCACTGCGTTTGGAGGGGACGAAACCAGGACAACACTCACACACAGCATTGCCGCTCATGTTGGAGCAATAACTGTTCAAACCACAAAACCCCGGGATTTGACATTGATCAGGCAAGGCTTGCCACAGCATTTTCACAGTTGAGCTAGTATTGCCCTCAAATTGGTGCTCATACAATCTCAAGTTCCCATCTACATCTAATGTTGTGCGGTAGATTGAAGTTGAGTTCTGCGACTTGTTTCTAGGGATGCTATCAGTAAGACAGAGAAGGTCTCTGACATAACCAGTTACGCAAAGAGAGCCTTCATCGTTAAGACTGAGATGGCTTCCCTCAAATTGAGTCTGTGAAGCCCAATAAGTATCCTGTGGATCTTGTATTCTGCTCGCAGGATAAGCAACGAGATTTCCATCATATTGCATGCTGAGATAGAAACTTCCCCTCGAATGGTCTAATTTGGACATACTTGAGACCAGGCTGTCACCTGAAGTTAAATACTGACCTCCTAATATGGTGTCGGTTGGATCATCAAAGCTTTGCCAGATAACAACAGATTTCTCATCATAGAGCACAAAGTTTCCAGAATCATTCATGGATGCCGAAGCTATTGGCTTTGAAACATATGGAAGCGACCTTGAATAATCTGAAATTGCAGTTGAAATGAGATCATGGTCTTCCTTCCCATTTCGAAGAAGCAACCGGCCATCCTTGGTCAAATCCAATGAGGAATTAGAGGAGACTGGAGAACTATCACGGTTAGCAGTCCACACAATTGTGTTTTCAGGTGGAGTGACCAGCCATATTCCAACACCAAAGCCACTATTACCTTGTTGGTAAAACCCAAAAGCAAAATGGCCAGAACTTGATGCCCATGAACTATGATTGCCTTTAGGAGAGAGCGAAGACCCCAACTGAATGATTTTTTCAGCTGTGGCTTCTTTTGCAAATAGCATCAAGAACAGTAAGAACATAACAGGTGTGGAAGCCATGGGATTTGCAAATTACACTCCTGGTGTCTCAATAGAAAATGATTCTTACTGATTAACTCACTCGCCAATCAAGAATATTTAAGGACAAAACATTATTATGGGGACTACTTAATAATTATCCATTTCAAGAGTTGACTGGCTCTCGTGCCCTGCTACACAAGTCCTGCACCAAGAAAGCAGCACTCACAGGTGGGTACCCATGCCGTGTTGACTGGTAAAGGTCCAACGTGGGGAAAAATAAAAATGGGTCCTCTATATATATATATATATAAGAATTTATTTTTGATCCCATGATGTTTTCCAAATCTTTTGACCCAACATAGACTACTAGCATTGCAAGTCTCTCTTTCCTATCTAAGAGATGCTCCGCATACGAATGTGTAGACGGGAGATTATGTTACTTCCTTCCTCCTTGATCTCTCAATTATAAAACTGGTATTATAATTGAATCTAATATGGTTTGCTAAAACTTGCAAAGCTTTCAACTTCTACCCGTTTTCCACCATAGATATTTACTGACATTTGACATCACATGAAAACAGAAACGATTAACAGCCCGTTTCTTTCAGCCCGTTTCTTTCCGGTTCTCAAAAAAGTAATTTTTATATCTCCTTTATTTATTTTAAAAGTATTTTTTATAAAAGTTAAATTTATTTATATTTTTATAAAAATATTTAACTTTTGAAAAAAAAAAACATATTAACTTTTGACTTCTGCTTTTTTTTAGAAGTTATAATTTTTAAATTTTGAAAAAAAGTAAATTTTTGATTTTTTTTGTAACTACTACTTTTTTTAAAAGCAAATATCCAAACAAACTAAAAATAAAAAATGTTTTTTTCAAGAAAAAAAAGCAACTTAAAAAAAAGTTGATCCAAACAAATCCTAAGGATTGCAAGGTCTTATTCCGCATATAAACCACCAGTAAAATTACCATTAATGCTATCACTGCCACCATTTAACTTTTCTGTAACACCGCCATCTGAGTACAGCTTGGCATGTGCTCGATTATTGTAAAATTGAAACAATGGAAGGGGGAAACCTATAAAAATAACTTCCAAATGTAACATTATATTATGAAGCAGATACAGAATAATATCTAATTACATTACATATTGAATACGAGCGTAAGCAAAATGTCAAAACATAACTCCTGTGAATTCTTAAGGTTTTATTATATTAAACCTATAATTCTATAGAATTAATTCCATCTTTACATTTAGCATCTTACATCTGTGTTAGTATCTAAAGCGTGCATAACAGAGGCATCGGATTTGAAAGAAAAAAGAAAGGCGCGAATAGCCATCCCACTACATTGCCCAAAACGTAACCCAGCAGGTTACTTGGCTGCTTGTTCCAGAACCGGGATTTTCTTCCATGTTTCTTCCAAACCACTTATCTGCAACGGTGGCAATGAAAACATGCTAACTGTCGAACTTCCACTTCTAATTTCCTGCAAAACATGCAAAGCTGATATGGTACTCTTCATATAAAGGCTCTCCATGTACTCGATCTCTGCTAATTCCTTAGGCATCAGCAAGCCATCACTCTTGGTAGTGGTCGAAGTTGAAGGATCGCACCCTTCAACTTGGGGAGTTGTCTCACCAGAAGCTGGAGGATCATTCATAGGGAAAAGGCGGTCCAGCATTGTTTCACACTCCTTTACAAGCTTGTAGAGCAGGTCAATGGTAAAGAAAGGTTGTTGCAAGACCTTCTGAATGAAAGGCAGGCGAATGAGAGCACCAGTTCTCTTGTCATACTTCTTCAGTATTTTCACTAGCCCTGTGGAAAGAAATTGAGGTAATAATTAGATATCTGGAGCTGTTGATATAAAAAATAGAAAGAAAAAAGCATCCTCAGTAACACAATCTTCAATCTATGCTCAAAATAACCAACTTTAGGCCGATCACAGAAGCGTATCACCAGAAAACCATTTGATCTAAAAGTACAGTTTTTCACTTGACATAGTGGTTTCCCACTAAAAGCTGCAATGTAGACATACAATAATCATGACAGACCTTTCTGAAAACCATATCTTATTTATATGCCACGTGCTTTTGTAACATTTTCAAACCAGAATCACTTTCGAGTTACAAGTAAAAGGAGTGAAACTCCTTCGTTTGATTGTTTACGCTTTAAGATGATGTGACCTTTGCTTACTTTGTAAAAGGAATACTTATGAAGATCAGCATCATATTTAATTCGAAGATTGAGGACATACTATTCTTGAATTGGCTTACTAAAGTAGATAGAGGAATAAGAATCCATTATAGAGGTATCAAAAGGGCTGAATGTTCAATTAAAAGCATATAATTTGTCCAACCAAGTTGCCCAGAAGAATTTTGAGGAACAATGGACAACTTGTATTGGAAATGAATCCTATTCCTATTCCATCTCATTACTTGACTTTATCCATTGTATTTAGAAGTGCTAAAGTTCCTAAATGAACTTGGACCATGTTTTAGCATTTAAAGATTACAAATATTGTTATATTTCCTATATCAACTAAGAAAACAAGTGGATATAATATATATTGAAAGTTGAAAGTACCTGTGTAGTTAAGGGCACTGTAGTTCTCCAGCAAGACCATCTCTCCGTGGAAATCCACAATTTCCTTGCGAATTTTCATCATCCGTTCACTAGAATACTTTACTTTGGCAACCCTATCTTGTAACTCCTGCATATTTTAACCGTAACAAACATTAGAGAGCACATATACAACTTCCTGTTATCCAACTGTTTTACAAATTATAAATAAACTTGTGTCCAACCAAAAAGTATATATATTATACTTATTACGCTTAAACCGTGGTTATCCATAAATAATCAAATGGCTTAAAAAGAACCAATGATAATCTTCTGGAGGAGAAAAGCAAGACAAATTGACATTGCCAAATTGCAATAAGAATCTTTACCATTACCTAGTGGAAATCGGATATTATATTTGATCACATCAAAATTCGTCATTCATATTCATAATTTGTGTACTTAACATTTATTCGCTTATCAAAATTAAACTCCGTAACAATATAACGACTTGATATTTATTTTTTATTTAAGAAACATCTCGACAAAAATTTGTTCAGAATTCATCCAGATTTAAGAATCATGATTAATGAATAGGTCAAAATAAACACAACATCACGAGTACGAAAATTCGCGTATTGAATTGGAGGAAACCTAAAATTTAAAAGAAACAGGTGATAGAAAAATAAAGGAATGACGAATTGATGAGAGTACCTTGAGCCTAATAATGTACTCTTCCTCCTTCTCAACGAAGAAGGTGTTGAATTTCTCGAGTTCATTCTCCAACAAGTTCCTGAAGTCTCTCTCCTCGTTGGACATATCCACGGCGTCGGCGGCTGAATCGCCGTTGCCGGCATCGATCCTGAGGCGTTTGGAGGGGCGGTCCTCGCCGGCGGAGGGCGCAGGCTCGAGCTGCTTAAGCTTCTTCTTGAGTTCCTTGTAAGAGAGGAACTTGTCGCGCCATTCCGGTAGGGTTTTCTCGATCTGGTTGCTGAGGCTCTTTCCGAATTTCATGGCTTTCCGTTACCAAAGAAAAAAAACGATGATATAAAAAAAGAAAAAAAGGTACGTGAGAAAAGAGAAGAAAAGAAATGAAGTGGAGACTGGAGAGGAAAGTGTTTGGAAGGGAAAGTGTGTATATGATGAGGTTGGGAAGAAGAAGAGGAGGAAAAAGGGAAGAGAGGTGGGTAATATAACGGTAAAAGGGAGGGAATATTCGGAGGGTATTGTTGGAATATCCGTAAATAGAGTATATCTGGGGTTTTATTCCCTCTCTCTCTCTTTCTCTCTTTCTTTACTGCTGTACTATGCACTATGTGTGCGAGGGAGATAGGAGTGGCTGTTTGGGTTTGTGCTCGGCATAAAAAAATATTCCAAATATAGATGCGTTGATTGTTGACGACATGTATTTTGTAATCTCTTGCTCCTTTAACATTTTCATTTATTTCTCTTAACATTATAAAAGGATATGGGCATAATACATTTATTACAAAAGATAGGGTAATAAAATCGGATAACAATATAAAAGGATATGGGCATAATAACCTTCTATCCTATCTTATTTTTAATATGTATTATATAAGCAGTCTAATAAATTATTATTATTTTATCTAGTGTTGTGAATTATATGGTGTCATGTTAAGATATAAATATCATTTTTTAACATGATTTTATATAATTTTTTTAAAATTAATTTTTAAAATATTATTTTATTTATTTACACATTGAATCTTATTTTAAATTATTAAAAATTTTAAAATTCATAATATTAAATAAAATCTATTAAAACAGATATGTAACTTACAATTTTCTTTCAAAATAAAAAAAGTATATCTCATCACATGATTTTTTAAAAATTAAATTTTAAATTTATTGTCAATATTGATGACTGATGGCTAGTGGTGGTGGAGGCTGTGGGGGCTAGTGAACGGGTAGCGGTGATGGTGCTGGCAATGGTTGGAGACAATTGTGGTAGCTGACCGATGACGGTGACGACTAGTGGTTACATGATGGTTGTTGCTTGGTGGTTAGGAACGATAGTGACTCGGGGGGGATAGTTGGTTGATTGTGGTGGCATGGACAATGGTAACTTCAAAGATGGTAGTGACTGATTGGTGGTGATGGAGGATGCGGGTGGCATGGCCCAAGGTGGTGGCTAGTTTAAGGGGGTGGGAAATGGCGACAAAGGTGATGGTGGTCGATGGAAGTGGTGGTGAAGTGGGGAAAGTGGGAGTGTCTGGCTATAGCAGTGGTGATTGGTGCCTAGTAGTGGTAGTCGGTGACAATGACTATAATGGTGGAGGTAGTGGTGGTTGTCGTGGTCGATGGCCGGCAATAGGGGTAACAATGACTAATCAGCAGTAAGCGCTAATCCTCACGTGCCCAACAAAGTTCGTAAGAAAAGATCATACATATTTGGGAAAAAAGGAACATGACATTTGTTTTCTTATCTTGGTTCATTCCTAAGCCGAGTCTGTTGGTTAAGGTTCATACTTTGCATTCAGATAATGGCTCTTGTTAGCAAGATATAGAGAAATCCAACAAGTGGTCCCGCGGAGGTCTGGTACCGTTGTGGGCCTCTGACTTATTTTTTTTATTTGGTAGTTTAGGCTTGGGCCCATGAATAGTTATTGCTGCCTAAGCTTATGTATATTCGCCTTGTAAACTAGTAACTTGTAACGAGTGCGGTGAAAAGAATATAGTGTACGTTGCTGGACGTAGCCCACATTAAGTGAACCAGAATAATTTGTGTCTCGGCTTTTATTCCCTTTCTCTATTCTCAATTTGCAATTGTGTGTGCGTCTTCAGTCCCAATAATCTCCCATTATAATAGCTTACCCATCTATGAATAAGATAAAATAAGCTAACAGGATATGCTTAGCATATCCAGTTAATTCATGGAACAATGTATAAAAACAGAATATCATATCCAATTAATTTTCTTTACTAAAAACAACAATAGGAATCTCTATTCTTTATAAAATGAATATGGGATATAATATCATTTTTTTGCATAGTTTTGATTAACCTGTGCGGCCTTAAATTACTAGTTAAGAAATTAAAACAAAATGTGTTTAATATCTTAAATGATTTTATAAATATTTAATATTTACTTTATTAATAGTTGAAGTAATTTAATCAACAATAATAAAAAAATATTTAAAATTTTAAAAACATTTAGTATAATCACTAAAATATAAACTTTGTAATAATGTACAATTGACTACATGAAAAATAAATAAATTATTATAACAATATGCAAAGAAAGCTGAAAAATAGAGGCTTTTTGACCCTTTGCCCTTATTAAATAAAAATCAATGACTTTGTTCCCGTACCAAAACTATACATCAATTTGTCCTTGTTTAATCGATTACACGATGGAAGTAATCGATTAAGTGTCTAAGATTTAGTTAATCGATTAAATTGTTACTTTTTGCTTGTGCATCTCGAGGAAGGGTATCCCATTCTAATTTCCACGTGCAAATTGCTCTTGGACCATAAGTTTCTGTCAAACCATTTGAATGAGTCACAATGAATCCTGGTTCTTCCTTAATGAAAAGCACATCCGGGGGTGGTGGAGAAGCACCTGTCATCACTGTTATTTTTCTTGGAAGAGGCTTTCGGACTTCAAGTGGTGAATTTATTATCATGTTTAAAACTGCAGGTGCTCCCCCCATATAGGTTACCTTGTGCTTATAAATATTGTCAAATATCCCTTTAGCAGATACACTTCTTTGGCAGACATTTGTGCCACCCTGAGCAGCAATACCCTAAAGGAGGCATCATCCATTGCAATGAAACATTGGAACACATCATAAATATACAGGCATAGACCTTGTCGCATTAAGAAGATCTGTACCCCAAAGTAGCAACGAACCAGGAGGCAGCTATTTCCTTATACGTAATTTTTTTTTTCTTAAAGTTCCTTCAATGGTAATCGTTTATAATGATTGCGTTTGCAGTGAAGGAATAATAATTTTGCAAACGCGTGGATAAAAAAGGGTTGCCCATCTTTTTTAAAAGTAATAATAATTTTCTTATCAGATTCAAGTTAAAAAAGGTTGTGTTTACATCATCAAGTTAATAATTTTCTAATTTTGTGCAGTGTGAAATTAGAGCATGCTCCTTGGTTTGGGTTTGTATGATCAAATCAGAGCAGAGCAAAGGTGATTGTGTTGACGTTTCTAGCATATTGTTGAGATCGACAAGAACTTTCTTTTCCTTCAATGTACTTTGGAAAATTGTCTAGCCACTTGCATTATGGCAATGAAGAGGAGTGAGCTAGTGGAAGAAAATGAGATCATTGATGTAGCAAAGCTATTGAAAGAGGAGTTAGATATTTGAATAGTGATCCTTTCAGAAATGCTGAAATATTGACGTAGCAAAAGCTATTGATAGGGGAGAATTTTAAGCTATTGATTCATCGAGATCAGTTTCTCTCTCTGATTGTAAAGAGAAAGAATGTGGAATTGAGGTTGGAGTGGCACTTGAAAGGATTCAAATGAATAAAAAGTTGCAAATGAATTAGTTGTAGATAAAAGACAATATTAATGGCTCTAGTGAGAAGAGCCATAGTATAATCTAAAAAAGTCGTAGTTTAATCGATTACGTAATCGATTAATTGAATTTTAGACACTTAATCGATTACTTCCCTCTTGTAATCAATTAAACATGGAAAAATTAGTGTATAATTTTGGTACTAGGGCAAAGTGATTATTTTTTATTTAACAAGGGACAAAAGGGTCAAAAAGTCAAAAAGTGGGGTAACTTAAGCGAATTAAGAATGGCGAAACCAAGGGAAACAAAGGGGAGCTTTGCTAATTTATGACGCATGGTTTAAATTCCAAGACAATGCAAATATTCAAATATTCGCAATCACAAAATCTAGATGTCAGCTATAAAAAAAAAGTTTAATGTTTATCATGTCATACGTGATGAAATTATCTTTTATACATACACATAAAAAAATATAAGATTTATATTTTCTTTTATTCTTTCTCCTTTCCACAAGGCACCATATGGGTTTTTACAAATATGAAAAATATTAAATCCAAATATATATATATATATATAAGGATATGTTATTCTACCTACTATTTTTTCTGCCTACTTTTGTCTACCACTCTCCAACACCATTAGATCAGAATCTTAACTAACATTTATGTTTCTCTCTCTTCTTAAGATTCTGATCTAATGTTGTTGGAGAATGGTAGGCAAAGGTAGGCAAAAAAAATAGTAGGTAGAATAACCTATATATATATATATATATATATATATATATATATATATATATATATATATATATATATATGGGATTTATACTTCTTATACAACATAAGAAAAGCCTTCTTGTTATAAAAAAAAAAAAAAAAAAGCCTTCTTATGCTACACTCACATCATTTTGCGTGTCAATATTTTTAATTTTTTTATTTACCATTTTCCAATGGGGCCTATCTGAGTTTGTGTGTGTTGCAAAAATTCTCATCTTTTTTTTTTTTTGATAACAAAAAATTCTCATCTTATGTCACATAAGAAGTGTAAACCCCTATATATATATAAGAGTTATACTTACTACCATCTAAACTTACCATCCTTACAACCAATCTAATCACTGTTAGATTAGATCAAAATCTAACGATGATTAGTTATTCCTGATAATCTTAATTTTTTCTCTCGCATCCCCTCTCTATCTGCCCCTCTCTCTAGGTTTCCATCCCCTCTCTGTCTGCAATTTAGATTCAACAATTTAGAGATCGACCTCAAGTAAACATATATGAGAACCTTGCCACTTTTAGACAAGATAGGATAATAGATGAGTATATATATAAAAAAACTCTAAAGCCTTTGTGATAAAAGCTTCCAATGCTCGGAAGGAGAACTGTTTCGGATACTTGGGCAACATAATACCCAAACTAAAAATGTCCATGGATTCTAAGAAGATTAAGAGTATACTGCAATGGCTTGGGTTTGTCAAAGATAATGAAAAATTTCGTTAAGTCATTCATTAATCTTATTAAAAAATGTAATTTTTTTATCACTCAATTTGCTGATCTGGATGGATCTTTTGCTCAGATCTGTGCTGCTACACCTGATTAGTTGCTTTGTTGTTTTTGGGGCATTGTCCCTTTTGTTTACCCAAAAAAAAACAAAAAAAAAAACTAGAGAGAGACATAGAAGGATGAAAACCTAGAGAGAGAGGGGATTGAGAGAAAAAATTAAGCTTATAAGAAATAATTAATCATCATTAGATTTAATTCTA